TTTGGAAAGACGAAACACCGCAACACTTTCTTGGACTCTCATAATAACCAGGAAATTAAATACCCAAAAAAGTATTTTTATAACTTTGTAATTTTAGTTTATTTCACTTATTCACCATTAATACTAATCCGAAACAAAATCAAAGTTCAGATACTGCCACAGCACTCACATTAATCGAAGATAACTGTGTTTCACTAAACAATATATGGTGATAATGATATGATTCACTAGTGTAGTAATTAAGATTGTGTGGGAGCAAAAATCTTACATAACTCACATAATTTCTATGAAGTGCACGATCTTCGCAATAGGAATAACAGAGAAGAGGAAGGGACGTCAAGTCAAAAGGTAGCACTTTGTTCTTTCGACATTGAAGCTAACTTTTCAACACGGTTTGACATTTTGCAATTAAAAATAATTAAATAGCTACATTGTTGGGTATTTATATTTAAATTTATAAGAAAAGAAAAACTGAAGTGTGGGAAAATCACAAGTTGTCAAAAATAGGTAAAGAGACATTTTACTTGAAAAGAAATTATATTCGTTCATTAAAAATATTAACTATAAAATCGGAACAGAAGTCATTAACATTTCCAAGAGGAGCATTTCTTGAATATTCGTACTGTGGGGTAACGTTTATTGAAAACATGTTAAGTTATTAAACCTAAGTATAATTTAAAAACGTATCACGGCTGTAATAATTATAATATAATAATAATAATAATAATAATAATAATAATAATAATAATAATAGTAATATTTTTTTTCTTGATCCTTTCGTCCTTCATAGGTGGCTATCACTCTTAATATTGAAATGGTGAGAGGTTTGGGATAAGACCAAGAGGAGACGAGACAATTTTGTCTATCCTATCACATAATGGACATACTTTGCAGTTTCTTAAATATGTGATTTTTAGAAATACTACTATGTAATAACGTTATTTACATATCCATAAAACATAGCATATTTCATTGTTAATCTGTGAAGAGTGAAAAAATATAATATATATTTTTAATGAAACACTGCCGCATCTTCAGAAAGTAGAAATGTCCGTTAATAAAAACAAAATACAGTTTCCATCCAACGTTTGTATTAGTAATTTACGCAACCCCACTCAACCAAAATATTACTATTTATTCGACAGAAAAGACAATCGAAAAAGGTGCAAAAATCTCCATGCAAGTGTGTTTAAAAATCAAGTTTCATAATTTACGTAAGGTTCTTTATCATACATAAATCCTGTTGTAATGAAATATCATGAATGAAAAAATATGTTATAAAAAATATGTTCAATATCAGAGAAAATAGTGAAAGAAAAATGAATCAGTGGTTTCCGAAAGGTAGGGCAATAAAATAAATTAAAACCATATTCTTGATTCTAATTACACTAAGCATATTACAAATTCGATGATTATGAACTAAAACAAGAAATACAGACTGGAAAGAAAATAACTCACCTGAAAAATACCAAAAAAGATGAACTGATGGAAGAAACGTAAAAACTTGATAAAAAACATGAATAAATGAGGTGCTGAAAGTAGTTGTAGAAAAAATCGTCGAAAACTTGCAGTAAATAGAGTGAGGTATAGTTGTAAAATGCTTGCGTATCAAAATAGGTGTAAAAGTCCATTAAAAAATCTTGAAAAGAGGTGGTGTATATGTGCTGGTAACTTGTAGAAAAATCGTCGAAAAGTTGCAGTAAATAGAGTGAGGTATAGTTGTAAAAAAGCTTGCGTATCAAAATCGGTGTAAATGTCCATAAAAAGTCTTGAAAAAAGGTGGTATATATATGCTTGGAGCTTGTAGAAAAATCGTCGAAAACTTGCAGTAAATAGAGTGAGGTATAGTTGTAAAAAAGCTTGTGTATCAAAATCGGTGTAAAAGTCCATAAAAAGTCTTGAAAAAAGTGGTATATATATGCTGGGGGCTTGTAGAAAAATCGTCGAAAACTTGCAGTAAATAGGGTGAGGTATAGTTGTAAAATATTTGCGTATCAAAATCGTAGTAAAAGTCCATAAAAATCTTGATAAAAAAAGTTGTGTGTATATATGTGCTGGGAGCTTGTAGAAAAATCGTCGAAAAATTGCTGTAAATAGAGTGAGGTATAGTTGTAAAATGCTTGCTTATCAAAATCGGTGTAAAAGTCCATAAAAAATCTTGAAAAAAGGTGGGGTATATGTGCTGGTAACTTGAAGAAAATCGTCGAAAAGTTGCTGTAAATAGAGTGAGGTGTAGTTGTAAAAAAGCTTGCGTATCAAAATCGGTGTAAATGTCCATAAAAAGTCTTGAAAAAAGGTGATATATATATGCTTGGAGCTTGTAAAAAAATCGTCGAAAACTTGCTGTAAATAGAGTGAGGTATAGTTGTAAAATGCTTGCGTATCAAAATTGTAGTAAAAGTCCATAAAAATCTTGATAAAAAAGGGGTGTGTAAATATGTGCTGGGAGCTTGTAGAAAAATCGTCGAAAACTTGCAGTAAATAGAGTGAGGTATAGTTGTAAAATGCTTGCGTATCAAAATCGTAGTAAAAGTCCATAAAAAGCTTGATAAAAAATGGGTGTGTATATATATGCTGGGGGCTTGTAGAAAAATCGTCGAAAACTTGCAGTATATAGAGTGAAGTATTGTTGTAAAAAGTCTTGCGTATCAAAATCGGTGTAAAAGTCCATAAAAATCTTGATAAAAATGGTGTATAAACGGCCGTGTGCTTGGAGAGGTTGGGGATCGGGGTCGGGCGAGTCTGCGTGGACAAACGGATTAATCAATTACTGTTTTTAAGGCATTTGAACATTCTAATTTTTCTGCGTTAATGTATGAATATTGTTGATTGAATGATTTCATTGCAGATATTTCATTACAACTTTTTTGTTAAAGGACTAATGATCTCCCTTTTGAGGAATTTTGTGAACGACTATAGAATCATACTAGCAAACTTAATTTATATTCTACTCCAATAAGTTAAAATTGGGATCACGAAAATGAAAAAAATGTATTTAAATATAGAAATTAATTAAATGTGTTTTCTCAAACACGTTTCACGAAAGCTTTTCGTTGTGTGATTCGGAATACGATAAGGATGAATAGTAAGGGACATGATTCAGTACACCGAAAGGGAAAAGATAAATCATTCATTTCCTCGGATATGCCCTGTGATTAATCACGTTACTTGTTTGCGTATGGCTCACACTGCTTCGGCGCTTTAGTTTTTAAAAGTTGAGTGGGGTTGAATTTTAGTATGTTGAAACCTGTGAGGGACACATTCATTGGAACACCATTTTATGTTTCGTAAATTGTATTTATACTTTTACTCTGTTTGTCATATATCGTATTGTATGTGGTTATTTTGTACAGTACTAGTACATTAGACTAGAGATATTATGTTCATCAAGTCAGACGTGATTAATATACATTTTTATTTCTAAAACTATATTATATTTACACATCTAAAATTATTTTTGTGGAGAGAAAGTCTGATTTTGTCCATCCTATTCGTGTGTTTCAAGTTTGTGGATATTTCCAGTAGTTATGATTTGTTTTAACTTACGCTGGAAATTTTTAGCTGTCGAAGGTAGATGCGCTTTATTCATATAATACATTAATCATATATAGTGAAATAAATAACGTTACAGGCGTGTACTCTCTTACAACAATGGGTCTCATTTCAAATATTCATGTCATTCTAGTAAACTTTTTCCATTTGTCATCAATGTGGGCAGGTAAGTTTTGAAATTTAAGTGACTAGTGGCAATTTGTTATGTTTCTATCCAACGAAGTAGGAACCTATACATATATCCCAAGGAAGTAGGAATTGTAAAGAATTTCTTTTTTCTAATGTAATTTTATTTCATGAGTATATTATTAGAAACTAATTTCTTCAAACTTAACATTTGTAGAACTAAACATTCTTATGGTTAGGGAACGGAATTTATTTTAATAAAAAAGAAAAATATATTTCTTATATTTGCTTTTACTTTACTTACTTTTACTTATTACAATATACATAATTTTTTCGAAAATGAGTAAGAAAAATTAGAAAATACTTAAAATAAAATTCATCATACGATTTGTAATTGCCCCATAACAGCATTTTCAAGCTTGCGAACACAAAAAGTCGCCGATCAGAAATGGATTCGAGGCAGTTGAATAACGCTCTATCTCTACAGAAATAATTGGACACTAGTCTTCACCAAAGAATGCGATTTTAAAGTATAAAATACATATGTACAATATTCTATGCTGTGTACGAGAAGCATGTGGTTAGTCTATGGAACAAAAGATGGAATTATTAAACAATATGTAAAACTGAGTAAAATAAAAATAGCTTTAATAAATACAGATTGTTATGAAATCTCTCTAAAAATTGAATGTATGTGTACTGCAATTATAAAAATACGCATTTACATGAAAATCTGTTCCCTACTAATGATGATCCGATAAGAAATGAAATTTGATGGCCATTACCTTGATATCAATGTCGTTAATTTGCTATTCTTTCATACAGTCGAGTATACAAGGTAACATCTTACATAATTAATTTATTGTAAATTTTAATACCGAGTGTTTACTTAAATGTGTGTATAACTCTTTAGGATGTGTACAATGCCCAATCATGGGGATAGCGCCACTTTTACACCCTTTTGCGTAAGCTGCGACGCTGGGTAATGCGAGGTGCCTTGTTGAAAATATCAAGTGAAGCATACAACTGTCTCAAAAGAAGGAAGCGTCTCTAACATAAATTAAGGACATCATAGGAAGGTAATGAAATGAAAAATGTTCTTTCAAAACTTCTGAACGTTCGCTAGTCACAATGTGTAGTAAATGAACTTAAGTCTTATCAGTCCAAATGTGTGTCATCCAAATATGTATTCAAGTCATCAAAAACAATGACGAATTATTTAAAGTTGTCAATCAGGCTTCAGGACATCTTGACAGAAATCTGCCTTGCTTTAGACCGCAATTTGCTGCAGAGAAAAAGCGCAAAGTCCGTTGGCTTCTTACCTGTCCTGAACCCAGACACTTAAGTGGAAAGTACTTGTTTGATGTGGTGGGTAACTGCAGCCAGCGACATAGTCGGAGCCTCCGTCCACACCCTCCCACCACGTCACCTCCCAGGCGTTTCCCAGGCAATGCCACTCGTTCCCCACAATGGCTGCGCACCCTACAACAGTGGATTTCAACAAGAATGAGAGAGCCGCCTCCAAGAATCGGACTGGGAGGGGCAACGCCCCCCACACCACCCGACCCCCGAAAAAATATTTTTAATGCAGTATTACACAAGTACACATTTCCATAAAAAATCATCAAACTTACAAGGATGTTCTCATGTAGACATGTGAAATACAACATATTTGATTTATGACTTCGACATTACCTTTATTTGTTTGCTCACAATATTATAAATTATTATAACATTGGGAAAGAATTTTAAAAATACGTAATAGATTAAATGTTCTGCTTGTCGCAGCGCAAATCGACTGAGTGAGTCTACGTGTTCAAATTCTGAAGCATTGAATTTTGTGAACATAATATTAAAAGAAATGATAATTTTATTACTTTTTCGATGAAATTTAGTGCTTAGTTTCAAAATAATTCCTAGTAAAGTGATGGAACATCCGTAAACGTAATTCGAACTCCTAGCGAATTTCGGGCCTGCTTGTACTAGCAAGATGCTTTGAACAAACGTTATTGGTAATAAATTTTATTCGAAAGTTAGAAGAAATGAAGTCTATACAAAATTATATGTTTTATTGTCATCAAAGTTGATGATAAGGGATTATGTAGAAAACAAACGGGTCTTTTCTAATTTCATGTTTATTTCTCCAAAAACGTGTACATGCCCGAAAAGTCATTGACGAATCGATTACAAGCTGACATGTCCTCAGGCGCCAGGCCTTGTTGGCAGCGATGTGCCTTGCTCCAATCCGCAATTTACTGCTGAAAAGGCGTGAAGTCCATTGGCTTCTTACCTATCCAGCACTCCGATTACTTAAGCGGGAAGTTCTTGTTCGATGTGGTGAGTGACTGCAGCCTGCGACATAGAGCCTCCGTTGGCTGCCCTCCCACCACGTCACCTCCCAGGCGTTTCCCAGGCAATGGCACTCGTTCCCCACAATGGCTGTGTTCCCTACAACAGTGGATTTCAACAAGAATGTGAGACACTCCCAAGAATAGGAAGAGCGTTACCCACCACCACCCGCCCTCCCGATTAAGATTTTTTCTTTTTTTCCCCCAGCATTATATAGTACACATTTCCATGCAAACAATCAAAATTTTAGAAGAATGTTCTCATGCGAGCTTGTGAAATATAATGTCTTTAATTTATGACTTCGACGTTATTTGTAATTGCTGGATTAATTTTATTAATAATTATAAATTCTGGGAAAGAATTTTAAAACTGAATAATTGCTTAAACATTGTTTTCGACACATAGTAAATCGATTTAGTGAGTCTATGTGTTCAAATTCTGAAGTATGGAATATCAGAGAATATTTTAAAAAATACAATTTTATAACTTTTTAGTTTCAATTAAGTGCTTTGTTTGAACATAGTTCCCAGTCTATAGAACACTCGACGGTGGTAAATTAACTCTGAAGCGAATGAAGTATGTAATGATATTTGATACAGAAAATTAATAGGTCTCATTTCCATTTTTGTTTTGTTAACGTCATCCTTAAACTAATCGATTCGTTAATACCGGTAAAGTTGAAAGAAGGAATAAAAATACAAGCTTATTAACCGTCGATATCTGAAAATCTACGCTTGCGAGTAGCGGATCGAGAGAGAGGAGAGCTTCTAAGGCCTCTCAAATGAACACTCATTGAGAAAGGATCTAAAAGATATCAATTTCAAAATCCTAAATATCCCCAAAATATGTGTCTGCTTGTATAATATTAACTATATTTACTACAACTACAACTCTAAGGATCCTTAATCATTATGTATTACTACAATGTCACTGTTACCACAACGGAATTTATTATTTATTTATTTAATAGGTAATTATTACAGACAAAATTAGCTTACTTGATCCTATGTGGCTAGGCCGAAGGCCTTTAAGCCATTACAATATCTACATCCTTTTCGCGTTCTAATCTTTCGAATTCTGGTATTCACCCCAAATGGTCTCTTCCATCGCACTCAAAGCGCGCGGAGAAGAGCCATAGGTACGGCTCAGGAAAAAACCCTGAAGGGGGAAAACACTGCCGTCAGAAGCCAGTAAATTCTAATCTATCCGGACGTTTTATTAAGCTATTAATTATTTCTGGCGCGGGCGTCCGCCGTCTCCTTCCAGTTGCTTGCCCCTCAGCACCTGAAATCAACATGCGCCACAGAAGTCGTCCGCACCAACGCTGCTCTGCCCTTATATTCTCGATCCCCCTTACCTTCCCCCCCTAATGTGCTTATTACTTTGCCAGTTTATTTTATTTTATTATATAACATTTTACTTACCAATTGAACTACGACTTATGACTTATTTCTTAACTGTTTACTTTTATTAACATAAAATTACTGATTAACTTCATATTGTTAGCTTATTGACTTATTTATTTCTCTCCAGTCTAGGCTCCGCTCAACTAACCGGTGCGTTTTCCCACTCCCTAATTTCAGTTTCCCTAAATGGTCCGAACCTTTCCCTAAAATTGTTCCTAATTCTTCACGAATTTAGACCTTTTATCACCTAAACTGTTTTGGGCGAGCGTTACGTTCCTGTTTAGAAAGTAGTAATTTCCCCATTCCCATCCATTTCTTTTCCTCTATGTTTCGGTTGCCAGCAATATTAAGAGAGTATGTGGTTCCAGTCTTCCTACCACCGCAAAGCACACAGATGCCATTACCCACTTGCGTACTTTAGTCTACGCTGCATCCATCCCCCAACCTGAACCAAGCGTATCCCCCCTCTTGCGGTCCTTTCCGAGAGTAATGAACGTAACCTTCGCAACCCCATAACGGACTCGCATGAATTTGAGCTCTAGCGAACGTTTTTTCTCAGCCGTTGTTGCCAGATCTCTTGCCTTTTAATATCCGCAAGTCTATTGGGAAATCAGCGCGTTCTATTTCACGGGTTCCCCTATCTCCCACCATATCCGGAGGACTCTCTCCACCCTGCGGGTCAAGTAGCCGTTTAATTTTGTACGCCCAGTAGCGATGGTCGCTTCCCTGCGCATGCCTTCTAAAGACATATGTATGAGTGTGCAGCCTGTCCATCTGCTAATTTAATCCAAAGTTTAATAGATTTCATTTTAAAATCTCTCCAAATTCCTATACTTCCGACCTCTCTTAAGACTCCGGCATTTGCTGCGCATTTAGAAACTCCTAGAATTAATTTGAAATAATCTGTTTCGATACTTTCTAGTCGATCTATCCTTCATCTCCCAGATTTCTGCCCCATAGTTCATAGCTGGAGAATAACGATTTGAACATTGTATCGCATACTTTTACCGGCAATTCCGGAACCCTGGCGTACTGCGCAAACGATTTCTTTGAGCGCAAATTCTTCCTTTGCTGTGAGCGTCAGTATGTGATTATCCATCCCCCATTCATGGAAAATTTTGCACCAGATATGTGAATGTTTTGACGCGGTCAATTCTTCCCTAGCGTAGTACCATTTTCTCTTGCTAACCCCAGATAAACCGCATTTTTGAAGACTACTACTTTCGTTTTTTGAATGTTTACTTTTAGTCCCCATGTCTCACTATACCGTTCTACGGATATTTAAACTCTTCTGTAAGCCCTCAATCGTCTCCGAACATAAGACTTAAATCATCAGCATATAGTAGTCCGGGAATTTTCAAGCCATCAATTACGGGGCCGCTGTTATCCGTTCCTGTACCACGTCAATAAATCGTTTATAAACAAGATAAACAGCAGCCGGTGAAAGAGGACACCCTGTCTTACTCCTATTGTCGATTTTATTTTTTGCGTTAATACTTCCGTCACCGCACCTCACGCAGAAATTTACTTCCTAATACATACTCTGCAATACGTTTAAAACTTTAACGTGAGACGCCTAGCTCATTTAGTTTTTCGCATAAGCATACCTAATTAATAGAGTCAAAAGCCTTTTCGAAATCTACAAAACTGCAATATAAGTGGCCCCGTTTACGGAATTTAACGGACATTACCACGGAATTTAACAAACATTTGTTTAATTTTACTAAATTTACTGTACGTTTCGATCGCATCACATTATGTTGCATCATTTTGTATATATTTATGCTTTGGCCTAAGAAAATCAATCAATGCAGCAAAATTATTCTCGATACTCAACCGGTGATTCAAGTGAACCGCGCCACTATAAACTTAGGAATCACGAGAAATAATGAACCAACAAGAAACCAAAGGAACTCTGCTACCCTAAATTGGGGATGAACAGAGTGTATTTCAATTATATAAATACATTTTTATTTCAAGCTATTTAAAAGAAATAATAGTTTCAGAAATATGGGGAGGGGAATTGAAAGTGAAACCCTTCCCTCGCCGACTATACCTCCTGGATCCGCCTCTGCTAACTGTTAATTGCGAGTGGCCGACACCTCACCCACTGCTGAGGTGACGTCGTCGTCCTCGTTCTCGAGGAGTAGACCTTCCCCGCCATTTACGCCTGAAGAAAAGCGAGAGCTCGTGCTGAAGTGAGAGGGGTGCAGTATCCGCCGTCCACCACCCGACCGCAGGCGCTTCCCGTTGGCGCCATTGCCGCCATCGTCGCCACCTAGCCAATGGCGTTGCCCTGGTTTCCCGTAAACCCACAGCAACAAGGACAATCGACAAGGACGCACAGCAACGACAAGTAGCTGCGATGATGACGTCTGCATGGCAAGGGCGGATTCAGACAACAAAGTACCCGAAGAAAATACACTTCTTGCAAAAAAAAATATTTCTAAAAAATGCACTACATGTAATGATTGTTAATTAATGTTATTCTTTAAGAAATATTTTATCAGTACATAATAATAGTTTGAAGCAAAATGTTGTGTTGTTACAAATCTCTGCGTTTATTTCGTCTTGACTATACGTGCTAAATTTGTATTGTCATTAATTAGGTTCGTAACTTATTTTAAAATTATAATAATAATTAAATACTGGGTAGTAAAATTTTAACATATTTTGCAATAAAAATGAAGAGTAAAATGCACAAGATTATATTAAATATATTGCACAATTTCCTAATATTGAATACTATGTGTGTTTAGTTTATTTATAGACTATTTATTACTTTCGGTTCGTCCAGAAACCATTCACACGATTCAACTTTCGTAGTTCGTTTTTAGTATTATTTGACCCAGAGATACTAAATTAACATTCACGTGCATTTAAAGTATACAGGAAGATGAAACAAATCCAAAATATCTACGCATCCGTGATACCAAGATTTGTATTTTTAAAGCTCAAGTTGTTAAAGTTCGAATTATAGAGATTCGAAATATCTAAGTTCGATATAACCAACCTAAAAAAGCACTGTAGCTATACATCTTAACGATACAATGGTAAAGTTTCTTGTAAACGGAATAATGCCGCAATCCGATGATCTTCTCCCCCATACGTCACATAGAGTTTTACTGTTTTTTGACTAAATAAATATATATTTACTAGGCTGTCCGGGTGACGCCGCGTCCATGGCGAAGGTGCCGACGTTTCGGTCGCCATTAGGCGACCTTCCTCAGGGCGTAATCCGGCACCTTCGCCATGGACGCGGCGTCACCCGGACAGCCTAGTAAATACTGACTCCGACCGTGGAAGCCTATGCTCTCACTAAATAAATATAAATCTAAATAAACACTGCCCAATGCGATATAGAGGTCGCAGATGAACGATCGTTGCGCACTTGTCCGATCTGCAAGCGGAGGTGCCCTGCCATGTGAAATGAGGTCACCACCCGGAATCCCATGATGCAATAAGGTTGCATAAAAAGTTCTTAAAGAGAAATAAAGCGATAGAGATATTTTATTTAGAAACAAGACAACATTGTTTTTACTTAGCAATGTTTTGAGTAATATTAAAGTTAGAGGAAAATATAAGATGTGATTTTTATCGTACTTTGAGTAAGGTGAAGGAGAATGAATGAAATCCAAAGTATTATAAAATTCGATTCATTAATGTTCGAGTTATTTTGGTTCAATTTGCTAATGTTTGAATGATAAACGTTTAAGATGTGGATGTTTCATTTAGGGATTTTTTGCACCGCATATCGTTCAGCATTCTTTAGGTTTCCAGATTTGAGCATCTGCGCAATCGTCATTCGGAATTTCGCATGCGTAGAAGCTCCAGATTGTTGTAAGTCGAATGCTGCAAAATGTCCCTACTATAGTGAGTCTAGATATCGATTTTTGGATTGTGCAGGTTCAAGATATGGACGTTCCAATTATGGTGGTTCGAGAAATCCATGTCCGAGTCGTAGAGGTTCGAGAAATCGATGTTCGAATTACAGAAAATTCAGACATTTGTTTTCGAATTAAAGAAGTGCTCGATACAGTGATTCAAGTTATGAAGATATTGTTACAAATATAACCGTCCCAAATGTTGGGTTTATATCGCAATTTCATCGAATAACTCCTACGGATGTTGGCGCCGAAAGTGACAGTAGCGCGGTGAAAGCAAGCAACGATGTGGGCGGTCACCGGCCGCATGCCGGCTGGAGGCATCGGCATCCCCAGCGAGGCACGCCGCCCGGCGGAGCCCGGCCCGGCGCCGCACGCGCTATCCCGCGCTACAATGCGGCTGCATAAATCGCATCCAGCGGCGCCGTAAAATGCAGAGCAGAGCACCGTCGCGCCACACGAACAGGGCGCCCCCCCGGGCCGCGGCAAGAATGGGAGTCACACTGCCCCCCTCCCCCCTCCCGCTGTTTCCGCTTCCTGTGAATTCGAGCAGCCTTAATTCCAGTTCGGCGGAGGCCATTAGCATGTGCTAGGAAGTACCTGGGTTTGCGATAACCATCTATCGACCTCTTGTCGAAGTTATATGTGACGGATTTAGAAACGCTGTTTTAGAACGCCGCGCCGTGGAGCGGGAATACCGATGGTTGCGATCAATGTTCGGGCTGCTTGAGGGAGGCAGCGGAAGACACGAGAAAGGGATCAGGCAATGCGATTGTAGGTCCGAAGAATAATGAACGGAATTAAAACATTTCAATGAGTATTTATTTAGAATAAGGGTGAAGGACATAATATATAAATAAATAGTAACCGAAGCTAACATTTGACACAATCAAATGGAGAATCACTGGAAAAAACACTTAAAACGGCGATTTTATACGTTCATCTGTTGAAAATTGTTCACTATCCAAAATTATTTGTCAGACATTTAAGAATTTATATAAACTTTGAAATTTAAAGGTATGTGCTGTATTTAAATTCTTTGTAAGGTAATGCATGAGCAGAGTTAGTACCAAGCGTAATTTTTTTCTAGAACTACTTGTTTATGCAATAACTTGAATTCGCATGACGGTGGTCTGTGTATATTAAATTTAATTCGAAAGGCTGTTAAATTTTTCCAAGATGAGTCATACTTAATAAGTGCCATTAATCACAAATAATAATGACGAAAACGACATAGATCTCACATTGTTTTCAGTTCACAATATTAAAGAAAAATATCTGAGCCTGAAGACAAGAGCAATTTCGTTTACATATTCAGCATGCAATGTGGAAAAGGTCAGTAACCGTGAGCATGTATGGTATTCTCAATTTATTATCCTGAACACGGAAAAAATGAAAGAGCGAACCTGGTTTGTCTCATGGCAGGGTTAAATTAACAAAATTGAAATAAATGCCGCTGTATTCCGATGTGTATAGCTGCATTTTGCAACGACGGCAGTCACGCAAGCTTGGCAACCAAATAAAAAAGAACAAAACCTGAAAGAATATCCTACGCATAAAAACAGACAACATTATTAATTTTTAATGCGTGTCACATGAATGGCTTTCTTGCTCGGCGTTTGCAATTAAAAAACTGCCATTGGAGGTTCGCGCGCACATTGTGATGCGACTCGTCGATGCTGAAGCACAATTTAAGCTCAAAAGGAAGCTGTAATTACACGGGAAGACATTGTGTTGTCAGTTGACCCTGGTCACGTGGGCTGACCCCGCGGAGCAAACGGCCGCGCCCGCCCTCCGTGTGAGGCGAGCAGCTGACGCAGAGCAGTTCGCCTCTCGCCTCGCGTGCAGGCGATTCCGCTCCCCTGCCTCTCCCTCCCGCTGCTCCCCGCCCCCCGCCAGCCAACGCTCCCGGAGCCCCTTGTGCCCCCGCCTTTGCCGCACCCAACATTGCCGTCGTAACTACTGCCTCCCACGCCGCTGCCATTGCCGCACCCGCCATTGCCGCGCACACCATTCCCGCCCTTGCTATTGCCGCCCCGCCATTGCCGCGCACACCATTCCCGCCCTTTCTACTGCCGCGCAGACCATTCCCGCCCTTGCTATTGCCGGCCCGGCATTGGCGCACTCGCCATTATTCCCCGTCATTGCTGCCCCGCCATTGCCATTCCAACCATTGTCGCTTTCGCCAGCCCGTCATTGCCGCCACATTGCTGCCCTCGCTATTGTCGCTCCTCCTTTTGTCGCCCTCGCGTTTGCGAACACCCCCATTGCCACCCACGCCTTTGCCGTCACGCCATTGCCTCTCCCATCCCCGTCATTGCCACCACGCCATTGCTGCCTCCTCATTGTTAACCCCCGATATTTCCCCATTCGCCTTTGACGTTCCAGTCATTGTCGCCCCCGTTATTGCCACTTCTGCCATTGCTGCCTCGCCAATGCCGTTTCCCACATTGAAGCCTCATCACTGCCGTCCTCGCTATTTCTCCACCGCTCCACCTTTCCACTGCCCCCGTCGCTCACCTGCTCCACCTCTCCCACCTCCTGCCAGCCTCGTCTTCCCATCCTTCCCGACGCTCCTGTCACTGCCGTAAAGCCGCACTCCCGCCCCTGTCGTCTCCCCAACCCGGCTTTTCCCAACGCTGCCCTTGGCCCACACCTTTCTCTTCCTTGTGCCCTACCGATCACACCGCCCCCTTCCCCGTTCCCGTGCCACCCGACCCTTTCATCATCATGCATTCGTTTCTAACCTTCCCATCACTCTCGCCGTCACCCTCGCCATCACCCTCCCCAACTACTCCGTCACCGGCGTGTCGTCGATGTTCCTACCACCCCTCCCCATCACTCTGTCTTCCCAATCACTCCCTTGTCTGCATGACACCGTGTCCCTCTTCTTCCAGGCGTTGTCACCCCCCACTGCTCCCACATTCCCTGTCCTCGTCCCGTACATCGTGGCTCCGGTCGCCCCCCTGCCCCCGGGCACGGAGCGGGGCACGAAGCTTCCCTTACCCGGCGTCAGGGATAACGACTTTTCCAATGGCCTCACACATTCTCCTTATCGCGTAAGGTGGAAGTGCTCCACACCAAGTGCTGAAGGTGCATCGGTGGTCGTAAAGGTAGGTGGTCTTCAACAATACCTACATCATGGGACGTCGTTGTGACGTCGGAGGCGTCTATCCTCGAAATGTAACGGACGCCGGCACATTCGCGCAACACCATAAAGTTCTGAAAAAACGCCATTCTTCCTCCATAACGGTTATGGTTCGCTTCACACATTGTGCGCCTCTTAATGTACTTGCTGGAAATCACACTATCAATTCATTGTGCATCCATACATACGATGCAGATCTCTCTGATGCTGCCATTTGAAAATATAATGAAACTGTTACTGTAATCAAAGTATTTATATTAGCTAAATATAATCAGTCAGGATTAAAATTGTACGCAAAATATAAAATTTTAAATAGAAATATGTTTGGTTTAAAAACTTCCGGACTATC